TGTCTCATCAACAGCTAGATACTACTCTGTATGGCAAGAGGATCCCAAGTTACAAATAAAATATTAGAATAAGTACACCACTTTTAATTTAAATATTAGAATTTTGTGTCTCAACTCCTTGTCTCTCTCATTTCTAATTTCTTTTTTTTCCCTCAGCTCATCTTTTGATGATAAGAAATGACACGTCGCTATAAAAAGAATAATTTTTTTTTATTTTAAAAATGTTTATGTAAGTGACAAATAGTATATTTTTAGGAGAGAAAAAGAAATATTTTTTATTTGAGAGAATCATTTTGTAAGTGTCAAATTGTACATTCACGTGAGATGAAAAGAATTTCTTTGAATTTGATAGGGATTTTGTAAATTTTGTTTTGTTTTGAGGGCGGCTATCTTTGTAGGAAGTTTTGGAAAGATTATCCTTGTTATATTTCTATTATTTTGTAATATTAATATATTTTTAGGATTTACTTAGCATAATCTCATTTTGATTAAAATAGAATCTCTATTGAAACAAAATTAAACAATTAAGTAAATTGATTTTGTATTGATTCAGTCTGAATAGTTTTATTAAGTACTCTATATATTCTCATTTTGTTATTCTTATCATCCTTGGAAAGCTATGATTCTTTGTTATATCTTCTTTTTACTTTATTTTTTTTTCCCTTTAAATTTAGGGAAAAGATGAATTTGTCTAATCATATATATTTTCTTTTAACATTAAAGGTAAAAAACAAACCTTATACTTATCAAACTTTACATAAAAAGTCTTTTACAACAAAGATATGATCATTAGCTCACGAGAATGTTTTCTATGTACATTATTTTTTAAATTGAATTTTATATAGATAATTGGTTTTGGGATTCGCAAAATGCCACTAATTTTCACAGGCTTGCCAATTAACATGACTTTAACAATATAAGATTTAAAATTTTATGTGGCCTCTTTTTCATGGTATGCAAAGTTTTATTTTTTTTCTCTATTTTTGTTTCTAATTTTGTTATAACATTTAAAAAAATAGATAATTTATTTAGAGATTTGATAAACAACTAATAAATTATTTGATGATATTATTATTATTATTATTGTTATTTAATATACCTTATCAAGGGTGAAATATTGTTTTGATATTTTATCATTTAAATCTAATAATAAATTTTTAACTATTATTTTTTAAAATTTAAATGCATCCCAACAGTACTGACTTGGCCACTTGGGTCATTACTGAATTGATCACGTTGAGGAAAGTAAGCCAGACTTGCCTACTGAAGGATACCAACTACACTCTTTCAAAAAACGGTTATTGTTTGATTTTTTTTTAATATTTAAAGATTTAGAGAAAATATTTATATTTATTTACAATATTAAAAAAAAAAAGAAAATTTTTTTTTATAATTAGATATTTAATTAAAATGAATAAATAATAATGAAATTTAAAGTATGAAAATGGTATATTTATTTATTTTCAAAAATAAAAAAATAATAATTAATTTAAAATAAATTTAAAATAAAAATATATTATGTATTAGAGGGCTTCTCTTTTTCTTTTTCTTTTTTTTTCTCAATTATCATCATGAA